CTTAATTTTAAAATTAGATTATTTTAAAAATCTTTTAAAAAACTTAAAATCTTTATTAATAAAGTTAATAAAATATACATTAAACTATAATTTTTATAATTTTTATATAATAATAATATTAATAAAATTAATATTTAATATTTTATTAAAAATTAACATTTTTTTTAACTTCGCAGGCAAATTTGCCTGCTCTACAGTCTAAGAAATAACTTTTACTTAAATGATATAATAGTAAATATCTTAATTAAAATTTCTTTTAAATTTTTTTAAATATAAGAAATAATTAACACTAATAATATTGAAAAAACTTTTTATTCTAATTTAATAAATATTTTACTAATGAAAAAATTGAATAAATATTATAAATATTAGAATTTTAAATAATATTAGAATAGATAAGATAGAATAAATTAAAATTATAAAGTTATTAAAGTTAAATCTAGAAACATAAAAAAATCTTGATTTTAAAGATATATATTTTTATATTTTTTATAATAAAACTAAAAAACCTATAAAATATATTAATTTAATATAAATCAAGAAGAAATTCAAATATAAAATAATTAAAAATTTTTTAATAAAATTAAATAAAAATCTTGTTTTATTATAAAAAAATAAAATTTTTGAATTTTTTTTTTGAATTAATATTAAATCTGAACTTATTTAACTAAAATAATCATATTTAGCTTATAATGTAAAAATTTTTTTCTTTTCTACTGAAAAGATCACAAATTATTTAAAACCTATATTTATAATATAAGTAAATCTTTTTTCTTATAAAATTACATATATTTTTATTATTAAAACATATATTTATCTATACTTTTAAAAGGAATTTAAAATTATCTTAATTTCAAAATGAAACTTATAAATATATTGGAAAAAAAAATTATTAAAGTATAAAATATATTGAACCTATTAATACATTTGATATTCTATTAAATTACTTAATTTAATTACTTGTTATATAATAAAACAAGTGAAAAAATGGAAGCTTGTCAATAAAAAAGAAGGAATTTTAAAAAAAATTAAATTTTTACTTTAAATGTTAAATATAATTTTTTTAGTAAAATAAGTTCAGATTTAAACATTAATTCATAAAAACTTTTTTTAGATTTCCTCCCTTTCTATTGATAAGCTCCCAAATATAAAATATAATATGATAATAGAAATACAAATTTCAATTTAATATAAAATAATTTTTATTTATAATACATTTTGATTGATATTACTTGTAACATATTTAAAGAATAATAATCTATCTTAAAAATTGAAAATAACCAAGATTACTTAGCAAAACATTGAGCTTTTAATAGCTGTAAACCCAATATTAGTTTAGAAGTTTTGTCAAAATATTTTAAAAATAAATTAATAATAAATATTTTAATAAATAGTAATATAAAGTTTATCAAAACTATCAAAGTTTGTAAAGTTTTAACTTCTCTTAAAATAAAATTAGAGATTTATTTGTCTTACAACCTCATATTTCAATGATATTAATTGTTGAATAACAAGGATTCTGATAGGTTAATTAATTTTATAAGAACAATACTGATTTTGGACTTTATGAACAAATTTAATGAAAAGTATATTTTATTCTTTAACCTTGCTCACATGAATTATGAAGACTTTTTTTTACTAAGAAAATAAGTTTATTATCTTTAAATATTACAAACCAAACGTATTAACATTGATTAACATGTAGAACATGTAGGAATAGTTTAAGTTACTCCTAATAAACTTGGTGTACTGGATCATATTTGAAAAAGCATTATTTCCAATGAAATGAACAACTTTTATTAATGGTTGTTTATGTAATATAATGTAATCGCCTTATAACGGATTGAATTTTATAGTAAAATCATGTGTAATATGATTTCTAAATTTAAGTAAATTTGTCCCGTGACCGAATTTATACATGATTTTACATTTAAAAAAAAACTATTTCTTTTCGGATTATATAATATTACGTGATAAAATACAGCCAATAAAGTTGAATATCGAATATCGAACATCAAATTGAATATCATGCCAATATCTTTTAATAAATACTTTTTTTATCCCTTTTTATATAACTAAGATTTAATTTACATACAGGCTATACAAGATTTATTCATAATTTTAATTTGTTATTGGCCCACTTTTTACAGTTTGTTTTAATTTTACCATTAACAATTTATGGAATATGCTTTTTCCCGTGACATGTGACATAAACATGTCTCCTACGCATGTGAATTTACATCATTTACCACCCAAACATCAACTTGTTGACTCCGCGAGATGAAAATTTTAATTCTCCGTAAGTATCACTGAATAAATAATTATCATTTTTAAAAGAATATGCCCAAAATGATCGCTTCGAAAAAAGAATACTTAGGGATTTTCACGGCTAATCCTATTTGAAAGTGAAATATAGGCAATTTAAATACATCAATCAGGTGGACCAATCAGGTGGTATTCAGCAACCAGATTCAGAATAGTATAAAAGTTTTTTTGAACGTAGATATTTCTTAATATGAAATCATTTTTTTAAGGTTCGGTACCGTTACTTGCATTGGTTAAATTTTTCTTACATCATCTCCACCATTAATATATGGTGTTTAATTAAATTCTGGAATCAAATGCATTATCAATTCAAATGAAATTGTTTTTATTTTTAAAAAGGTTGGAGATTGGTAATGCAAAAAACATTGTATATTTGAGATTATTTTACTAAAGTCCTGATTGCTCAACAATCGTCACACAATTCTCCTTTATTTCCGATTTTAGGTATTTCATGTGGATATTATGAGATGATCTACTTTTTTGACATCTCTACTGATATTGGGTCTTTATACATCGAAGTTTGTGAACAGGTAAATGACGAATACAAATAACGCATATTATATTCAATATCGGAATAACTTGCTTCAATGTTTATGGGACCGATACCAATAAAGCGCTATTTAGTGACATACTGAACGTCACCGAAGAAGATCTCCGATTTAAAATCAAAATAATTAAAGGACGATCATCTTTAACATGTGTTTGAAAATCCCGCGTCCAGATATAAATATGGTCTAAGTGGTTATCTTTAATATTAAAGGAAAAAAAAAAAATCTGTCATTTTTTAAAAAATGTCTTCTGGTAAAAGCGCTTTGGTTTTAAGTACAACAGGTATGGCAAAAAAAAAGCACGAGAGAAAAGTTTTCAAAAGCTTGATAAATCAATACTTAATGAACCGAAAATTTTAGGTGCGATTGGTAAATCTCTTTTGAGAGACTTGCTAAAAAGCGGAGCTTTCAGAACCGTGACTACAATTGAGAGCAAAATGTTTGAATATAATGGGCCTAACAAAGAAGCTCTTGTATGTAAATAATTTTTATTCTTTAGAAAAAAAAAATTTTTTTTTTTTAATATATAAATTGTAAAATTTAGGTTCAAAAGGTTGTTGATTTCGAGAAATTACAAGATTATAAAGAAGAATTTAGTGGTTCATATGAGTAAGTTACACGTAATCATAGAAATTTAAGCGATAAAATCTTCGTTAACCATAAAATTAAATTCCGTATTTTGACTCCCTAAAACAGTACCATATTTTGTACATTAGAATCAGAATTCACCGAAAATTATGCAAAAGAACATATAATAAACGCAGCCAAATTAATCAAACAACAAAATCCTAAAGAATTGCACTTTCTTTATAGTTCCTCGGCTGGAGCAAATGTAAATTCATCATTTTTATATATGAAGACGAAAGGTGAAATTGAAAAGGAATTATGCGACATTGGTTTTAATCAAATTAGCATATTTCGTCCAATACTTTTTAAAACCGATAAAGTCAGAGATAAAGCTGGATTAGTTGAATACGTTTTCTTTAATTTGACCCATTTAATTGATTATGTCTTTCCAAAGTGGGCCAGTGTACACATTGATATTATCAGTAAAGGTACGTCGTGGGAGATTTTTTTTTCCTCTAATATTTTTAAAGTTGGCTAATTTTCGTTGAAAAAAAAATGTTTTTAGCAATGAGAAGGGTTGCTATTGAAGACTATGATATTGATGTTGAAACTACTATCTTGGATCATGGAACTCTTCTAAAAGAAATTAATCACATGCAAATTCATGAAATTGGAGATGCCGAATAATAAATAGTAATTTTTTCCTTTTTTTAATTTAAATTGATTACATTTGTTTTTGGAAGACAAATTTTGTTATTGCCATCACAAGTCTTACGAATTTGTAATTCACAATAAGTTAGCAGTTATAATGTAATAATAATCCATCCCTTTTTTGGAGAATTTTGAATAAAATTCTCACATTTTATTTTCTTCAAATCCTAATAAAAACTGATTTTTTAAGCCCCAAAAGGATTGTGCAAGAGAAAAAAATTAGGGCTTTTCATTGTTAAAAAAGGTAGATCTTTTGGAAATTTAATTTTTTGCATCACATCATGACTGATCAAGTGAGAAATAATGATACGATATGTTCATCATTGGTAAAATTAATAAAAAACGCCATTATTGCATCATGAATTTCCTTCCCTAAAAGGTCAAATTATATCATTCCACTAAATGTGTGATATATAGAAAGAAAAAACGCCAGATATTGTGTGAGAAAATTTTTATTAAATTTGTAGTCACAAGATTATATTTATTAGCCAATTTCATTACAAAACATTCAAGTATAAAAAAGGTACCAGACTTCACGATTAATTTTATTCTAAATCAAATTTTTATAAATTTTCATAAAAAAATGTCGACATATCAACCTTCTAAAACCGAATTGATTTCTAATGATCCATTTGTTGCTATTGAACAAAATGCTCCTGAAATTTTTGATTTTGGTATGCGTTAAAATTTTATTTTTTATTTTTTAGTACGAAATGATTTTAATTTTCTTATTTTTTCATGTAAAATTATTCGTTTTAGCACCAAAACCAAGACGTCGTATGAGTGAGCTTATTCCTAACGATCCTCTGAGAGAAATTGAGATTCATGCTCCAGAGATCTTCGAGCCTAGACTTCGAAAACGACGTATGAGCGAATTAGTTCCTAATGATCCTCTGAGAAATATTGAAATTTACGCTCCTGAAATTTTTGGCGCATTACAAATGAAGAATGGTGCAAGAGGTGATTTGATTCCAAACGATCCGCTGAGGAGCATCGAATTGCACGCTCCTGAAATATTTCATTAAATATATAAAAATTCCTTCCATGGAGAGAATTAATTGGTTTAATTTGTAAATTTTTTTTATTTTTGTAAATACGATGATTTTATTGTAGTAAATAGTTGGCATATATTTGCTTTTTATGTAAAAAGTGCTTTTTTTTTTCTCTTCATTAATTAGCAATTAGTTTCAATTTATCTTCATTACTCATTTCTTTTTAATAAAATTAAATTAATAAATTTTGGACAAAAAAATTTTTGTTTTTCTTTTCAAATACGAAAAGGGTCATGTCATCCCTTCTTTCAAAACAAAAAAAAAAAAACTTGGAATTATTAGAAAATTTTTACTGAGCGAAAAAAAAAACTTTCATTACATATATCAATACTACAGACATTTATTCGATGAATTGCGTAATCGATCAAAATTCAAAATTCAAAAAAAAGGGGTCTTACTATATATATATAATTAGAATATTATTAATTTTTTTGTATAACTAAATCTTAATTGGTTTTCTTGAAAATAATAATATTTATTATTATTATATTAGAATATTCGTCTATAATAAAATGATTTTATTACCATTTAAAATTATTTTTCTTTAAAATAATGCATATAAAAAATAGTTTTATCTTAAAAACAATTTTTTTTTTCATTTTATTAAATTATATTAATAATATTCCATTATTTTTTTATTCAATATCTTAATAATATATATATATATTTATTAAATTACTATTTATTTACTTTTATAAATATGTTTTTCTTTTTAAAATAATATATAATATATATATTAATTACTTTGAAATATTTTAAAAAAAAATACTTATTAACTTATTTTTTTTATAAAAAATTATTTAATAATTATTTTTATATAATAATATATTAAAAATCACTAGTCGAAAAAAAATTTTTTTTTTTGTTAATGATGCAGTCTAGTTGCAGTACTTTATTTTGTATTGTAAATTGAAGAAAAAACCTAAAAAAAATACTAAAATACGCAATTTACCCCCTGTAGTTTTATTTCAAACTCGTTTGAGTCGACTGATCACTGCTACCTCCTGAAAGGAATGGAAATAAAGTGTCAGAAAGCATCTAATTTCTAAATGTCCGTCGAACCCTAACTTCCCTCAAAAGAAAATCTAACACTAAAAGCAATACCCAAAGTAGAGAATTGGCATAAATAGAAATTTTCAAACAAATAAAAAAAATAACTTTATAAGTCCTAGTTAAAGTCCAGTCAATTTCAGCTTAAAGTGATCACCCGGCAGAAGAAGGTGCGTCCAAGTAACTAGGTTCAAACAAAGGCTCTTCATACTTATAGATTCATAAGTACAGAAAAAATATCATGAGGAATCTATTATGAAATTAAACTACATCTACAGAAGGTTAGCGAGGAAGGATCTAAGGGTAAAATCACTTTGGATTACTACCAACCGAACCAAGCCAGCCAGCTAAGGCAAGGAAAGAATCAACGGTTTTTCAGGCATCAACTAAACCAAGGGATTAGGATCGTTCTGAAAGCAAGCTTCACCACACCATGTAGAATAATGTCGCTAAATTTGAATGTGATCTTTGACAACAGAGGATCCGCAGAAAGGCAAAGGCCAATTAAAAGAGAGTATATTGTTTAGAAAAGGAAAGGAGATCATCACGTAAGATTTGTTTATCCAAAGTATGTCGATCATGATCGTCAGTTCGAATACCACTTGATGCCTACTTTTTGTAGGTAAAAAAGAAAAAGAGAAAAAAAATGGAAAAAATTTTTCGAAAGAAGTGAAGAAAAAATATTTTAACAAAAAACAACATGATTTAGACTATTTTGAAAATTTTTATGTGAAAAGGGGTGTGGAGAACAAAGAGAGAAATATTTTTGAAAGGTAGGGTTTTTTGTTTTGTTCGTAGGCTAAGCCGTGGCTATGTTGAACAGACATTTTTTTAAAGTAAAAATTCTTGGAAAAAATCAACAAAAAGAAAGAGTTTTTTTCACTCTACTAGTCGAAATAATTTTTTTTTAATTGTTAACGATGCAGTCTAGCTGCAGTACTTTATTTTGTATTGAAAATTTAAAG